AGCTACTAGAAACAAGTGCCTTACTAGTAGTAACAAGTGCCTTACTAATAGTAACAATGTTTGCTATTAGAATCAAACTAAAATTACTAAAGAAGGCTGGCCTGAAAAGCACGCCAACACGATCGCACATCCGCAGCCCCTGCAGCGCTCAAGTGTTGCACCGAACGGTCGAGACACCTCATCTTGTTTCCAACGCCGCTCTGCCCCAACTACTTAATTAAGTAGGTGCCTACTACCTACTTAATTAAGGGCTAAGTAAGCTACTAGTAACTAGACGCAGAGAAGCGCTCGCACTATGTATTTGGTTTCTAGGCAACTGGCAGTAGGGTTGTCAGTCTTTGGTTTGCGTCTTGACACAAGCGGTCGCAACACAGTCTCAAGTCTCAAGGACATTGAAAAAAGAATCCAGTGGCTCGAGGAGCAAAACCCCTAAACAAGTTGCTGTAAATGACGGGCAATCTGTAAGTGCTATTGGGTTGAAGGCCATCGCTAGTAGGTTGGAGGCTGCCGTGAAGGTTGGAGGCTTTTGCGCCGGGAAGGAAGCTGCGCCCCGTTTGGATGCTCGTTGGCCGCGGTCGTCTCCATCGGAGCGTCCGATGTCCACCTCGCTGGTCCAATTGTCTCTGAGCTCCACCTGTGGCTCCATCGAGGTAGGATGTGAAGTCCGATTTGATCGAGTGAATCATGCAGATTTAGAAACGAATTGGAACGAGTCATGCAGAATTCAATCGGATGCATTTGTCCATATGTTTGAAACTGTCTTTTTCTTGCATGAGTCCAAATTAACATGTGGTGGTGTTGCAAAAGCAAAAATAACACGTTCAAAACGGCAAGTCCTTAAGCAAAATCACGCGAGTGCAGGCGCTCAGTTCGACGACGGCCTCCTCTGCCTTGCCCTTTGCGAGCGGCGGTAGTGCGGCTCGAAGTAGTTTCAAGGCCTCCGTCAAAAAGCTACTCGGAGCAAGGACGCAACTAGGGGCGCTCTTGGCCTTACTACTAGTAACAAGAAGCTACTGGTAGCAAAGGGCATCGCTACTAGTAACAAAAAGAAACGAAAGTAGAAAAATATGTGCAAAACACATATTTCTCTTCTTTCCTTGAGATATTTCTTTCTTTCTTTCTTTGAAGAAGCTTAAAAGTCTTGAGAAGCAGGTTGATTGATTGTTTCAATCTTCACGTCAACTCCTGGCCTTCCGCGCATCGCGGACATCACGCTCATCAGCGCTGGGTGCAAAGGTGTCCGGAAGCTTCTCCTCGGGAAGCTCTCAGCTTGGGAAACTGCCTGCTGTCCTTCACATGTTGACTACCATTACGGGGTGCTGATAGTTGATAACTATTTTGCTATAATTTTAGTTGCGTCGTCTATGGTCTACATGGGGGCCCTGAGAAAATGAAGCAAACCAGCTACTTGCAAGCACGCAGATCGATGGCAAAGCGCAAAACCATAGACCTTTTGGTGTGTTCAGGTTCATGAGAAAACGAGTTCAAATGCTACTATTGAAGTTTCAGCTCGCTTTTAGGTGTTCCAACACTGCCCGATTCGAAGCAGAATATCATAAACAGCCCTACAAATGAAAGGGTTGAAGAGTATGTGATGATGTTGCAGGAGAGGTTCAACATATTTCTAAACTTCAGCAGGGTATGATCAAGAAAGGTCAAAAAACTCTGATATAGATGATATAGACTACTTTTGTGATGTGTTTATATCTGCAAACTAAGCGCTTGCTCTAGCAAACTGCCCGATAACGCACTGTTTTCATCGCCTGTTACACGGCTTGCATGGGTTCTGCCATGCACTCTTGAATCTTTTGAAATAAAATGGGTGAAGTGATACTACCGAGCTTCTTACATCTTCTGCAATGCCACCTCCCATAAACTAAGTGCTTAGTAGGTCTGGGCTCCTAAGTGCGATTAGGATGAACGGGCAATTGCGAAGGCTCAAGCACACACGGGAAACTCAGCGTTGCGGGGTGCAAAAGGAATACATATATATTGTTGGAACCACGGCCGCTAGCGAAGCAAGTGGCGTCAGCACGCGAATGATACAAACACCCAGCAACCCTTGAGCAATACCGTTTCTCGAGACGCTGATTGACAGTTGACACTTGCATCAGTTTCCTTGCAAAAAGGATTCACTGAAATTCACTTGCCCCATGATTGGCAAAAAGACACTGGCACTGTGTGAACAGGCTTTTCAAGAGCTGTGCCATGCTTTGAAGTTGTCCAGTTGCGGTTGTGATTACAGGACAGCTATGCTGCACTTGCTCGCAACATTCGAAGCAGCGCCAAGGGAGCAATCCAACAAATGATGTCATTGTGTTGGCAGAACGAAGGTGGAAAACAGTGGGAAGGTTTTGTGTGAGTGGTGTTCAGGAAAAATATATACAAATAAGTACTCGACACATTTCATGCCCCTTTTGTCTTCCTTTTGTATGTTGATCCAGAACTGTGATGAAAAACCAACCTATATATCTGCAACAACCGATGCATTGGTGCGCTGAGAGAAGAATTGAATCCGCGTCTCTGAACTACCACGGATCTCAGGACCCTGCATCTGCACTTGGTTGGCTGCCTCAATCAGTTTTCAAAACCAACAGCATCTGGCAGTTTGTTTTGCAAGCGACCAAAATTTGAGGAAACAAATTAGTTTTGCAATCACGCGTATGCAGCAGCAAAGCCACTGAAAGAAAGGGGCGGGAAGAAAGGACATTTGCACACAAAAACGAAATCCATCTTAGGTGTCGGACCGCTTGCTCGCACCGTTATTGCCTGGAAGAGTTGACTCCCACAAAGCACCACGGCAAGCATGCGCACTGTATCCATGTTTTCCGAAGGACGATTATAAGAGTCAAGCTTGTGTTACCAGCACATAGGTGGCAATGAATCACTCAGTGGCTTGAGAGTCACGCATCAGTCTACCGAGTCTAGCGGTAACCAGCCTTGCGGTTGCCTCCCAACAGCCAACCATCAAATTCTTTTCGTGGGTGATTGGCGATCTCCTGTCAACGGTGGCTTTCGGGGTCTACTTTTCAGTTTGGCAAGTTGAACGCTCTGAAAATGAGCGGCGCCTCATATAGTTCCCAAGACAGCACAAAAAAATCAATTGCGTTCTTTCTTAATGGTTTCTTCTGTGGTGCTTTGGGCCCTTTTTTCCCTCTCTCTCTCCCCCCCTCTGTCGCTCAAGTGCGTTGGAAACTATGACTGAGTACGGGGGGCAACGAAGTTCCAAAAAACCTTGTTGAGCACAAGTCGTCGCTTCCAAAAAAGGACCATGATAGATTTAATGGTCACACAGGTAAAAAGGTAGAAATTGTTCAGTACTGCTGGCGCAGCATCAGCTGCTGCCGCGATTTCACATCACAGCGAACGCTGCACCATCTGCACAGGACAAGCCTGAGCAAGCCTTGGCTGGAGCGTCTTGGTCCGGGGTGGGGGGGGCAGAGAGGCCAGAAACGAAGTCATGTTGGATGACGATGACGGGGACTCTTCGGCAGCAGCGCAGCCTTACATGGGCCTTTCGGTTCCACAACACCAACCAATCTTAAGCGTAATATAAAGTCTACCAATACGCGCGCTCTGTCTTTTTGTGGGGCGCCCTGCGGCGCCCTACCTTGAGAAAGCTTTCTGTCGCCCACTCAAAGAGAACCGTTCCCATTCCCCGCGCGCCAAGATACAAAGCCTCCTGGAGCGCGACATATACGGTCTAATTTGGCAGACTGCCCCCTGAACTGGCGCTGGTCACTGGCATCACTCCGCAGAATAAAATTTAAGCCTAAATCCGCAGAGGCTCCCTAGCTGCCTCTCTTGTTTTATGAACCAACGCATTCGCATCAACAATTGTTTCAACAGTCGAAGAACTAACCTCACTCAAATACGAAGAATAGGCAGCAAAACAAAAAGCAACTTGACTGCACCGCCGCGAGAAAGCTCCCAAGACCCCACGAAGGGCGCTCTTCTCTCGGTCGGCGGTTTCTTCTTTCCTCTGCTTTGGTCTTTCAGATACAAGACACGTAGGTGTCCAGTTGTAAAGTGCCTCGCGTTGTTCAATCTGAGCCCCACGCCGCGCGCTCGGTAGATTTCTCCCCGCCACAAGCGCTCTGGAACGCTTGCTTTTGCTTCAAGCCACATTGAGTCGCTTTCGTCTCCTACGAAGATACAGTCATCAACGCGTGACGTGAACAGCTCCACGTTCATATATAAGAGTGGGTTGGCAAATGACTGCCGGAACCCAAGTGACAAGAAGCAATCTCGCACTGATTCATACCAATCCGTAGCAGCACTTTCCTTGGCAAGTTGTTTCGTTTCACCAAAGGTCTTAAGAATGCCACTCACGGCCTTGGAGGAAGGCCGCTGACACGTCTCCTTTCCAACGTGTCCACTTTCGACATGCTGCTAGTTGCAACATCTGTTGTCTTGCGCGCGTCGAGTTGTTGTACTTTTTTGTTCTTTTCTAGTTATAACCTACGTGGGCTACATCTATTCTAACATCGGTAAACTTTTAAGCTACTTACAACAAGTGTACATTAAAGTACATAGCGCGCTTATAAGTAGAACCTACGTATGAGCTAAATGCATTGTGAACAAAAAAGTTACATATTTCTTCAAAATCTTTTTTGCGTTCGTTTTTCAAGAACCAACGCGTCAACCAACCTCAATTTCAGAAGAAGTGTGAAACCCAGCGCCATGAGCGGGCATAGCACTATCACTTTGAGCTCATTGAGGGGGCCATCGCAATGAAAGTGAACTTAACGGGTATCAAAGCAGTTCCTTGTTTGCGTGCTTCGGCCTTTTTCACACAAGTATGAATGGAACGCGCGTTTTTTGGTAGAAGCTTGCCGCTCATGAGCGGCGCACACTGCTGAAAGATATAAGATGACAACATTTTCAGAATAGCAGCGACATATGTGGGAATGTGCCGGGATGTGTCGGAGACGTGTCGGGAATGCGTCGGGGGATGTGTCGGGGATGCGTTGGGGAAGTATCAGGGAAACGCCCCTTCGCACTTTCTGCAGAGGGCAAAACTTCAGCGACAAGCTGCTGGCTTCCTTTGAAGTTTGCTGAAGACAAGAGGGAACAGAGAAAACTCTACGCCAATTTGGATTCTTGTTACTTCAAATTTGTCAAGAAAGCTGCACTACCAGGAGAGCACTCTGTAGAAAGTTTTGGACCCTGTGGACAAGTACCTAAAACCAAAAAACAAACAAAACCCACCCCAAAAAAAAAACATACACACACACACATTAAAATACAAACCCGCTTTCAGAGGCCTGTCCCCTGTGAGAGGGTTCAGTCAAGACTCCCTGAAATATGGTTTTATTGCGTTTCTTCTTTGTGTTTTTGCTTTTGGCGCATATTCTGTCGATTGGTCAAGCTTTCCTGCTGTGCGCAATTGTTTGTACAGCCATTTTTGTTGCGCACAGACGACGTCCAGGGTCAAAACTAGATGGAAGGTTCCAGACTTTGGATTTTTAGTCTTTCAGAAAACTTGTACACTCAGATGTACAGACCCACGCTCAGCTCACTTGTGAGACTTTGCGCGGGGTTTCTTGATCACCTGCTTGACTGCTTCTGGCACGCATAGGCCTTTGAGGGCTGAAATGCTCAGGGAGATACTCACGGCGTTCTGACTTTCGTGTATACCTATACATTTGTTATTTCACCTAGCACATGGATTGCATGCGCATTTCTTGCCACGACGGCGCGCATGAAACCTGTCCACGATATAGAACTTGAGTCGGTGGAGATCATCGTCTTGTCTGACTGGCTGAAGGCATCAAGGCACAAGCTCGATCATAGACGAAGGCGTTGCATTTCGGGCAGAGCCACAACGATTCTTTCAAAGCAGTTTTGGCTGTCTCCCTCCCTTCAGGCTCTAGCGTCATGGACAAGTACAAGACTCGTCCGTGGCCATCTCATGGCCAAAGCTTGAGAACGAGGAGGCTGTAGGCTCGGACTTCAAAGCCTTGTTGATCTCTACGCCTCTGAGTGTGTGTCTTGTCTCTTGGCCACGTGTCGTTCATGGACTTCGACATCGACGCGCTTTTTCTTCATAGAACGCCTGTCGATCTTTGGCCAACTTCATATAACAGTGTCACGCTGATATTATTGTGAAGTGCTGCATCTAGCATATGTCTGATTTCCATCTGGTATTGTGTCTGATCCCCATGCACTGTTACTGTTGCATCTTCATTGCTGGCGGATTCGACACCTCGAGGCTTCATGGCTCTGACGCCTCCACGCCTCGACACGTGCGCACGTGCGCGTCGACGCCTCCACGCCTCGAAGCTTCGACGCTTGGTGGCTTGGGGCGCTTTGCGGCCAGCTTGGAAGCGCGCTTACGTTTACCCGAATGCCCGTTCAATGTAAACACCGGCCCTTTTTCTCAAGATGGTTTTCACCAAGTGTCGTGGTGTCTTCGGTGAGCCTATACGAGACTGCGCATCTCTTTTCATTGATCTCCCCACCTCCCCACTCTGCAGTGACATCCCGACGTAGAGACCACCTGACCCTGCAGGGGCTGCAGTAATCTCGTCGACCTGCAAAACAACCAGAACAACGCATGAAGAAATTGCATGAAATGGTCGAAGACGAATAGTCCGACACAACTGGGGTCAACCGTCGCCTCCAGTTCGTAATATGAAGAAAAGCAACCTCACAAGTCTCATGTGTGATGCACGGAAACAAACATGTTACATGGTGTTCCTGTCGGCACTCATCTGCTGACCCAGGAGCCTGGTGTGCCAAAGTGTCGGCAAGGACCATCGCCTCACAAAAGAAATCAATAATTTTGCGTGTGAGGCGATTTGTTTCTCTCCTGTTCCAATCTCCAAATCGAACAAAATGGCCCCACCTACAACCAGACCTTCATCGTTGCCAATGACCTGGCAACGTTGGTGTCGGTGCGCTCTTCGAGAAGTGGTAGCAAAGAGACAGAAGCCAACTGCCAAACAAAAACTACAAATCACTTAGGTCACTTTGTCCAACAGTGACAATGCCTGACAATCAATGCCTTGCTTGGTTGATTCTGCTCAATGTGCAGATTTCAAGCTCGCAGGTGGGATGACCACCCCCGTGGCTGCCAGGAAGCCCCGACCTTTGTCAAAAGAAAAGTGCCCATGTGTTTGGGCGACAGCAACCCGTAACGCAAGCACTGTAGCATTTTGAGATGTTTTGTATCTCATCGGAGAAGACTCTGCCTCTGATAGATGTTGAACTCTGATTGTCTCCTCAAGATTGCTCTAGCCAAAACAGCACGCACTGCACGCCTACAGCTGTAGACAAGTCTGAAGACAGCTGCACATCCTCCCCCTGATCGTTTCAAAATCATCACGGATTCTTGCTGCTCTAAGCTCATTGTGTTTGCGCATGACCAAGGGTGCCTTGGCAGTTCGGTGCCAATTGCGGAAGTAGAGGATGCCTGGCGCAAACCTGATTTGCGCGTGCAAGCGCATGTCTAAGGAGCCTTTATCACCCATCAATTCCCTCATCATGGCCAGTCAGGTGTTGATTGAGCGTTGCCCCTTTTTGCTCCATGGGGCGTTGAAACGTATCATGAGCTGTGTACCACCAGCAACAACGCACGACGTCTCAGCCTTTGGCACCTTTCGATATAGAGATATATGTGTAGTGTATATTAGTACACATTATAAATATCACAAGCAAATAGCTACTAGTAGCTTCTTGTTACTGGTACTAATGCCCTTGTTACTAGTAGCGGTGAACACTTGTTACTAGTAGCAGGGAGCTACTAGACAATAAATATCTATATACATGTGTAAATGTATATATGTCAAAGCATTGCGCAGCACTAAGCACTGTGCCCAACCCATCTTTCGCTCGCAGTTCCTTCCAAGCTCAGCACGCGCGTGCTAACCTGCAAGCAAAGGGAGCTCACTTGGAAACCCATTCAAGCGGGCCAGTGAAGTTGCATCACAATACTGCTTGCTTGACCTTTGAAAATGCGGAATGGATTAAATCAATCGACTACATTGAGATAGGCTTCAGAACACGGGAGCTCAATGCTTGCATGCGCATCGCACATGTGCATATGTTCATAACAGCCCGTGCAAGAGCGCGCTCTTGGGATTCAAAGGCCTACAGGTTGCCAAAAGGGGCCTCTTGCTTAAAGGGTGAAGCCTGCAGGACATCTCCTTGTGGATCTTGCCGTTCAAATACGTTCCACCACTTGATCACGGTCATTTTGGGTCAGTCAAGTCAGTCAAGTCATTTGGGTCAAGTCATTTGGTTCCATTGAGGCTACAAGTGACGTGGTCGGCAGGAGATCCAGGATACAATGTGAGGGTCTCGTGGCGGAAGGCGGTTACGGGGAGGGTTACAGCGCCTAAGTACACAGGCATGCGAACCGTCAGAAGACTCAAGCGGCCCAAGCGACCCAAGCAGCTGACAAAGAAGAGGCCACATTTCGCAACACCCTCAGACATCTTCATCTTTACATCCAAAGCTTGGCTAGTGGCCTGCACATTGCACCCTTCGAGTCCAAATGTCAGGGCGAAAGTGGCCGTGCTTTCTGTAGATCTGTGATGAAAAGGTTCTTCACGGTGCAAAACAGCTTGAACTGACACGTCCACAAAGAATTTTCAGAGATGTGGACGCTCAAACCGCCAAACCGTGTTCTTATCTGATAAGGCCCGTGGTGCATCGAGTCCAGGCCTTCACGGTTTCGCCTCTGTCCGTTTCTTTGTGTCAGCGGGTGCTTAGGGGGCCGCCGCTAAAGCCCTCACGTGGACTTTCTTCTCGATTGGGGCAGAGCTCAAAGCGGGGCCCCCGATGTTTTGAGCACTGGGAATGCTACGAACGGAGCAAAGACGCTACGTTCGGGGCTCCTGGCCTTACTACTGGGAAGAGTGCTACTAGTAACAAAGGCCATCAGGTCGTTTTTTCTGTGAGCAGAGTTGATCCGACGTGTTCTCTCCATTGAGGGAATGGCAGAAAGCGAATTGCTTGGAAATCTTGAGACTTCTATTCAGAGAGGTGAGCTTTTGAGAGAATCTTCTACTGCAGATTCGCTTAAGCTCTTTCATGCAAAGAACAAGGAACATCAAGGAATCTTGCTCTACACCTAAACTGCCTTGGGTCTCGGCCTTAACCTAAGACTCTTGCGACTTACAAACGCAAACTTAAAATCAAGCTACATCAAGTGCTGAGCTAGATAGCTAAATGATGCAAAATGATGCAAAATGGCTCTGAAGAATGCAGCACCTGAAAGTTGTCGTGTCGTAGATGTTGGTTGTCTTCTCGAACCTGCTGGTAAACAACAGCGGAAAAAAAGACACCTTGCATGCATGACAACACTGTGCACACTTGTCCTGCCCAAGCAGGATGCGCATCTCCTCATTGTCCTGGAGCACAAAATGCTCTCATCATCACAATGATTATTGGAATGAGACAAGGCAGGAAAGGAAGTAAGGAAGCAAGGAAGGAAAGAAGAAAGGTCTAAAGTTTAAAGACTAAGTCTAAAAAAGAAAATAGGAGCCAAATGAATCACGCGGGACGAGTTTTGTTGAAGAACCCTTTGCCTTTCTGCGTCCAGGAGGTAGTTGCTTTCTGATGCTTTCTGTCGATTCCTAAACTAATTTACTTATATAAGCTACTACCAGCCACTTGCTACCTCTCTAACCCCCTTCAAGGCCTACCACCGGCCCTCTGAAAGTTAAGCCAGTAGCTACTTGAGCTTAGTAGCCCGCCCACCCGCGGCCTACCTCCCCCGAACAGCAAAATCCTCGACCACACCAAGCGTTCGATTGGACAGGCGCTGGTGCTCTTCCTTAGGGAGGACTTAAAGACACTCACCAAAGACACTCGGTAATGATTTCAAGCAAGCAAATACTTAAAGGTTCTTTCTTTGTTCATCTCTTTTTTTCCTGCCTTTCTTCCTTTTTTCCCTTCTTTCTAGGTCCGAATTGTACCTTCGAAGAGCCAAAAAGGGACTGTGCTAACGAAAGAAACACTCTGCACTTGGTTGTACTTTGGACACAAGGTCTATTTGGCCAGACTTTTGTTTATGATGTCATGATATGCTATGTTCTTGCATTTCTTGTTTGCTTGTTGGAACTGCATGGTGGTTTGTGCACAGGGAGTGCATGTTCAGTATCCATCCAGTGAAGACATCCCGGTGCTGCTGGGTAGCTCGACAGCATTCTGGCCCGAACAGATTCACCAAACCCGCAATACATGTTTGGCGAAGGCTGACGATCAACTCCAGCTGTGCTTACAAAGCGAAAACATGAATCGAACGCAAAACATGGACTTGTTCCCTTGGACCACTACCGGTCAGCTGCATTGTATGAAGCAAGCTCTCTAATGATCAACATGATTACGCGTTCAATCGTTTTCTCAGTGCAAGTCCATCAGCAGCCGCAAATCATCAGCGAGCAGTTGCATGCGTTCATTCAGAATCTGCATCAGCCAAATCGGTGTTTATGTAGATTGAGAACAGCAGTCTGAAACAAAGCAAGAAACAAAGAATTGTAACAAGAAGCTACTAGTAGCTAGGGCATCGCTACCAGGAGCAAGGACGCTACTAGTAGCTCCTGGCCTTCCTACTAGGAACAAGAAGCTACTAGGGCTTTGTTTCATATGCGTGTTCTTTGAATCGATTGGCGCCTGCTGGTCCCGCTGAACATCTGCATCCGCTTCAATACAAACATCAATTTTTCCGATGATGTACCTGAGGGACCATCCCCTGTCATCTGCAACTGCACTGCTGGATCGCAGGAATGGCAAAGCGATTACGCAAGCTTCCAGTTGTGCAAGTCTTTTCAGTTGTGCAGCACAAGAAAACATAAAAGAATGGTCTAGAGGTCCAAGTAAAGAAATAGAAACAACAAAGGAATAGATGAAAAGATGAAAAGCATATTAAATTACACCACCGTAGACCCCAAACAGTTTGTGTTTTTCAACATCGAAACTAGAGCTTGGACAAAGGATTGCGCAAGGCAGAGGCGGCCACAGCAGCCCAGAGCTGGGAGACAAATGTAAAGGGTTGCAAGGCAGAGACGGACACAGCCGTACAGAGCAGGCGGACATATCTTAAGAAAAGAATTGAGAAGCCCTAAACCTTTTGGGGAATTATTCTTCAAGTGCGAACATGATGCTGGTCATGCTGCTCAATCAGCGGGGAGCTGACCACGTGAGGACAAGAAACAAAAGCGTGAGGAGCGAAGGATGTGACATGAAATTGATTTTTGGTGCCTGACGTATGCCCTCCGTCCCAACTGAACAGAGAGATCGCTGCCACGCCGCCGAAATCCAATCCGGTCATTCATCCAACGCTTGCCCGAAAAGGAAAACAAAGCTGAGAGAGTTACACACTGCGGCAGGAATGCAACCCCGGAGACAGTCACGCACCCATTTCAAAGGAGCAAGAACCTTTCACAGGTGAACCTGTTCCAGCGGACAGGGCAGAAAACACCAGTGCAGGCACCAAACCTGAAAGACAAAAAGAAAGAAATCACATGGGAGACAAATGAATAGAAATGCTACATGGCCAAAAGAGATGTGGTAGACAAATGAATAAAAATGCTACATGGCCAGCAGAAAAGGGCGGACACCAGCAGTGACAGATCCGCGAAACACATGAATAGAAATGCTGCATGGCCAGCGGAAAAGGGCGGACACCAGCAGTGACAAACCTGAAAAACAAATGAATAGAAATGTTGCATCGCCAGCGGAAAACGGCGGACACCAACAGCGACAGACCTGGGAGACTAATGAATAGAAATGCTGCATGGCCGACGGAAAAGGGCGGACACCACCAGACAAATGAATAGAAATGCTACATGGCCAGCGGAAAAGGGCGAACACCAGCAGTGAGAGACCTGGGAGACAAACGAATAGAAATGCTACATGGCCAGCGGAAAAGGGCGCACATCAGCGGAAAAGGGCGGACACCAGATGGCCAGCGGAAAAGGGCGCGAACCCGACCAGAAGCACTCAGCCTGGGAGACAATGAAAAGAAGTGGGAGACAGTTGAAAAGAAGTGGGAGACAAATGAAAGGAAGTGGGAGACAAGCCAGC